TAATAATAATAATAATAATAATAATAATAATAATAATAATAATAATAATAATAATAATAATAATAATAATAGCAATGATGATAGTGAAAAAATAATAGAAGAGAAATCCACAAGAACAAAGAATTTTTTGGATGGTTATTTTATATATTATATTAAAGGATTAGAACGATGTGAAAAACATACTGAGGGTAAATTCTTTTATTTATTTATTTATTTATTTATTTATTTATCATTTTTATTTTTATTTATCATTTATTATTATTTTATTCATTATTATTATTATTATTATCATTATTATTATTTAATTAGATATGAAAAGTAATAATATATCGGATCGATACTCTCGATTACAAGTTAGACCGTAAGTATATATATATAGTAATTATTATTATATTATTATTTAATATATAAATTTATTTTTAATATCTCTGGTATATACAATTTTCAGTGAAGAATATGAAATTGATTTAGGTGAGAAATTCGAGAAAACGAAAAATGAAAGTAAGTATTATAACAAAATGTATTCTGTTAAATAGATTGTTAAATCTATTTCAAAAAAAAAAGAGAGATATATATCAAATATATATAAATATATATATATAATCTGAATACATTATAATAAATATATAATTTAGCAACTCGAATTATAAAAAGAGCATTTACCCCGGGCTTTCAATTAGGTAAGAGGTATATAGAATCATGGGGTGACGGAACGCAAGTAGCATTTTTTAAAAGATTTTACGAAAGTGCACATCGATTGGATGCAATACATATAGTTCGAAATAATGTTAAAAAAGCTATAGATATTTGGATTAAAGGTGGCGGTGGTGGTGGAAGTGGAAATATTATTGGTGGTGGTGGTGACGGTGGCAGAGATATTGTTGGTGATGGCGACGGAAGTGAAGATATTATCGGTGAAAATGGAGATAGTGTGGAAAGAGTGGAAGATGATGGTGACGATAATTTTGATGATGATGATGATAATAATATTAATAATGATATTAAAATGAATAAATAATAATATTATTAATGATTAATACTATAAGAGTTATGATTTTAAAGGAAATTCAGGACATGATAATTATGATATCAAAGAAAAAGAAGATTGAGAAATATATTACAGTCATAATTATTTTATTAATTTATTATTTTTTTATTATTATTTATTTATTTATTAATTATCTTTTGTAAATAAAAAAAAAAAAACAATTTCTATATTCATGACGTTAACTCTTCATAGTAAGTTCACTATGGTGAGTTGTTTATTTTATTCTATTTATTATTGTAGTTAATTGTAGTCAATTATAGTTAATTGTAGTTTGTTATGGTTAATTGTAGTTAATTATAATTAATTGTAATTGAATAGAGATTGAAAAAAAATGTATCTTTATTCATTCTTTCTATATTATATGTATATGTATATTATGTATGTATGCACGATTTAGTGTTTATAAAGTATTTCTTGAAAAAGATTTTACTTCTATTTTTTAAAGTTTTTTTTTTTATAGTTATACTTTTTTTTTTTTTTTTTAGAGATTTTTATATATATATATATGGTTATAAATCTATTTTATTTTTATCTATTTTTTTTTTAGAGTTATATTTATTGAGGTACAATTCCATCTCCATAATTAATTACTTCACCCCCAATAATAAATCCTCCAAAATGATTATTATCGAAATCATATATTGTAGTATTTAATCTATTATTACTAAAATTTTTAAAATCTTTTAAACTAAAATCTATTCCTCCAGTTCTTCTCCTCCTTTTTCGTTTTCTTTTTCCATCCTCACTTTTTGTTTTTCTTTTTCCTGATATTCCCCCTTTTGCATTTTCACTACTACTACTACTATTATTATTACTATTATTATTATTATTATTATTAATTTCATTATCATCTTCACTATCTTCCTCTTCCTCACCATCATCATCTTCATAATAACTTTCATAATCTTCTTCATCGTCAATTCCATTTCCATAATAATAATAATAACTATTTCCATATCCCGCAGGAACGATTTGACAATTATTCATACATCTTTGCCAACATTCTATTATATCTTCTTTTTTTACTAGTAAATTAAATTTCAACATGTAAAGAAAATCAATTTCCATACGTGTAATTTCATTAGGTGTAAATACGTGATTAGTTATATTTGACCAATAATATGAATTGTTATGAGGAATCAATAATAATGTATGTGCTATTAATGATGTATCGGTTGTTTGTTGACGTTGTTGTGAGTGTGATTGTGATTGTGAGTGCGATGATGAGAGTGTGTGTGATGAATGCGTGTGTGATGAGTGCGAGAGAGAATGTGAATGAGAATTCGATATATCATTATTATCATTATTATCATTATCATCAATTATTTCATTTGCTCGTGTAGTAGATGTTGTTAACCATTCTTGAAAAGTCAAACCTTCATTATCTTCTGAACGCCATTCGTCCATCCTTCTTTCCCTTCTTGCTATCCTAATTAATGTTTCATCACCTTCATTATTATTATTATTATTATTATTATTTAAATAATTCTCATAATCTAAAAATTCTTCATCAATTAATGAATCATCATCTAATAAGAAACCTTCCGAACAACTTTTTGAAAAACTTGCGTCCACATATTTTGAAGCTATAACGAATGCGATGAAAAATACGCGATGTGAACATCCTTGTTCGCCATGGAAACATGGATTAGCCTATTAGAAAAAAACGATTAATAAATGATATGACGCGTGAATTTATTATTATTATTATTATTTCCATACCTTACGCAATCGTTCAATATATACCATTGCAAGAACTAATTTTAAACTTGACCAATTAGTCCACGCCCACTCTGATCCACCACCATTATTAATATTATGATGACTATGACCTCTTATTATTATTTCATCATCGTCATCATAATCGTCATCCTCATCATCATCATAATTGTAATTATCATAATTATAAATATTATTATTATTATTATTAAAAATTTCGTCATCATCATCTCCATCATAATCATCATCTTCTTCCTCTTCAAATTTATATCGAATTCTTGCTATCACGTATTTAATATAATTTTTTAAGGTGGTATAATGATGATCACGATCTGATAAATTGGTTGACGAATCACCACCACCTGATGGTTCCCACAATGGTTCCCATAATGATTGGATCCTTTCAGTTAAAAGTTCTAAAATAAGTATTACAAAATGGATTAATATGTGTGAAATGTATTATATGTATTATATAAGTGACGCGTCAAAATATAATAATATGTAATAATAAATATTATTATAATTTTTATAATTATTACCTATTACAGTTTCATCCATTATTATATTTTGTTCAAAAAGTTCACCCAAAGTTTTAAATAAATTTTCTCGCTGCATCATTTCTTCAATGGTTTTTGAAACGTAAGCTTTGTGAAAACAATTTTCTTCTTCTTCATCAATAGCTTCAGGTGGAAGAGAAGAAGTTGGTTGTGGTTGTTGTTGTTGTGCTGATGGTGGTGGTTGTTGTTGAAGTTGTTGAGGTGGTGTTATTGTTACAGTTGTATTTGTAATAGTTGTATTTGTAATGGTTGTTTGTATTTGAGTAGACGATGGTGGTGTTGGTGATAATATTTGTGTTGACCTCATATTATTATTATTATTATTATTATTATTATTATTATTATTATTATTATTATTATTATTATTATTATTATTATTATTATTGTTGTTGTTGTTGTTGTTGTTATTATTATTGTTGTTATTTTCTTCTTGAGGTAAAGTAATAGTAGTAATAGTTTCAATATCACGCTTTACGCGAGAAATACTCGAGTTATTAGAGTTATTAGACATAATAATAATATTTATTATTTATTAGGATATTATTTACTAAAATATCCAGTAATTTATTTTTTTTTTTACTTGATTTTTTTTTTTCCTTACTGAAATTTGTTGGAAAAAGTTAAAAATCGAAAAAATACGACGAAAAAAAATAGTATCGACTTTATTTATTGATTTAAGCCAACTCAAAAAAAAAACTCAAAAAAAAAAAAAAAAAAAAAAAAACTAAAAAATCGAGTTATTGCATACACAAAATAACAATTTATAGTTTAGCATTATGAAGTATTAATGAATGGATAGTTAATGTTGGTAGTGGTGATAAAAAAAAAAGTGGCTGACTTGATTATTCCGGACAATAAATGTGTTCGTTCATTATTTATTTTATTTTTAATTTATTATTTTTTATTATTTTTTTTTTTTATTCCTTAACTTAACTGATTGAAAAAGGCAAGAAGATGTGAGACTACTTTTCCTCTTAGAAGATTGTGATAATGGTAAATCCACGTGTAAATATAACAATAACAACATCAAACACAATTATATAATGATTATAAATAATATAATAATAAATAATAATAAATAATGATATAGTAATAAATAACAAAAACAACTAATAAACAACAACAACAACAACAACAACAACAACAACAAATCATCCAATCAAATAATCATAATAGCCACCATTAAACCATATCCCATAACAATACAATCACTTTACCCAATTTTTATCATGCAAGGATGAAGTACAACGAAGATTTGATGTGTGAAAAGCGTTAATCCACATAATTATTAAACCATCCCGTTAAAGAAGAACAAGAAGAATCTATAGAACAAGGTTGAAAATAGAAAAATTAGAACAAGGTGAAAAAAAAATGTAATTATAAGGCGATGAAAAAAAAAAAATGAAAAGAAAAGAAAAGAAAGAAGAGATTGAAGATTATTCCTAGATAGAAGAGATAGACGACAATGAATTATATAAATATAATGTTATAAACATAATATTATATATTTATATATATATTATATGTATTATTATTATATAATTATTTTATTATTATAACTATATCCAAAATTGGTTATATGATTTTAAATGTGACACTCACGCATTCACGTAGATCAAACTAAAAAAAAAAAAACTTTATATTAATTAATGTTTGAGACGTATAATATATAATGTATGATATTTCTTCCCTTTACACCACATTTCTCATATCACCATATAATGATATATATATAATATCATCTTCGTCTCGTCGTTTGTACACGTTTGTCTTCATCGTCATCGTAGATCTTTGTTATAAGAAAAAAATAAACGAGGGAATGGGAATGAAAGCAATTCAAGAAATGATCAATTGAATTTTTTTTTTTTCTCTTCAATGATATCAACATGTGTATATTTGATATTTATATTACTTAATATCATTTTATGTATTTCATTTATTCATTCATTCATAGAATGTTGTACTGCAATATGTATTTATATATCTAAATAAAAAAAAAAATAAAAATAAAAATAAAAAATAAATTATATTATTTATATAAATATATTTATTTGCATATTTATTTTATTTATTTATTTATTTATTTATTTATCATATCTATTTATTTATTTATTATTATATTTATTATCTATTTACTTTGTACAAGTATTAAAAAGGAGTGAAAAGGAGTGGAAAGGATTAAAAAGGTTAAGGATCATTGTGTTTTATGTTATGATTGTTTGTATCATTTTTTAATTTTTTTAGAATAAGATTATCTTTGCTTCTTTGCTGTTATCCTACACTGATTTTACCCACCTATTACACTTATTATCTATTTTTATTTGATTTGTAAGAAAAATTCAAATTTATACTATTTATACTGTAGATGAATATTTTAATTTATATAAATTAGAGAATATAAATGAACACTTATATTTTATTTATTTTAATTAATTATTTATTTTAATTATTATTTATTTTAATTATTTATTTATTTTTAATTATTTATTTTAAATTATTATTTTATTTTAATTATGATAATAAATCATTAATCATCAATAATTATCACGGGGTTATCATTATTATCATCATCGTTATTATTATTCAAGTTATCATCATTATCAGAAGTCCAAGAATCATAATCTTGACCAAAGTAATCATCAATAGACATGTAAGATACAGTTCGAACATTATTACCAAATTCAACTATTTCACATAAAGGTTCAACTATAACCACCAAACTTTTTCGAAATATTGCGAATCCTTCATATGTAATCTCTAAGATAGGTTTTTCTTCTTCTTCTTCTTCTTTTGTTTTCTTTTCGTCATCATCATCATTAAAAATATATTTTTTATTCTAATAAATGATATATATAAGTGATAAAATAAGTGATAAAATAAGTGATAAAATAAGTGATAAATGAGTAATATATATGAATATATATGAATATATGATAAATGAATTATGCCTTCCTTACCTTTACCAAGATGGAATGTCTTGTATCAGTGGGTTTAAAATAATAAGCCATTTGAAAATTAGCTGTCTTGAACAAATGAATTAATTATTATTATTATTATTATAATTAATTAATTAATTAATTTAAAAATAATCAATTCATTTAAATTAATTCATTAAACAGCTCATTTAATAATTCATTAATTAAAATAATTCATTAAAGAACTCATTAAAGAACTCATTAAAGAATTCATTAAAGAATTCATTAAAATATCAATTATACTAACTTCCGCGATACACTTCGGAAAATGATTTATCATCCAGCTTTTTTCGTTTATCTTTGGAAAAATGTTTTGGTATTACTTTATGTAAAGCTGCGAGAACTTCCTATATTTTTTATTCATTATTATTTATAATAATTTATTATTATCCATTATTAATTTATTATTATTATTGTTATTATTCTAAATAAATATAATTTTAAATATACTACAATAAATAACAAATAATATAAAAATAATGGATATTAAAAATTTCTTACTTGAAATATAATATCATTAAACCAATTAATATTATCGGGTTTTATATAAAGAATTAAAGGAAGAACTTGTTTAGCGGAAATACGTAAATAATGAATATTGTACGTCGAAAAATGTTTTAGTGAAGCAGAAGAAGACGACGACATTTTTAAAGATCAAAAAAGCCAGTTATTCCGTAATTCCAGTTAATAATTTCCTATAAATGCCTATAAATAAATAATAATTCTTGTAATTCGAATCTAATACGTCCAGATCTGATACCTATTTTACTATATTTAGATATTAAAATAAACCAATTATTTTTTCAATGGATTCTTCTTCTTCAATTAGAGTAGCAAGTGAAGATAAATATAGTGTAATTCTTCCGACATATAATGAGAGAGGAAATTTACCTATAATTACTTGGCTTTTAGCTAAAACCTTTAAAGAGCAGTAAGCAAATCTTCAAATCTTCAAATCTTCAAATAATAATAATATCATAATAATAATTAATTAAGTAATAATAAAGTTGAATGATATATATATATATATTTTTATATAGTAATATTGATTGGGAAATTATAATTGTTGATGATAATTCACCTGATGGAACTCAAGAAGTTGCCAAAGAACTTATTGCGCTTTATGGCGAAGGCCATATCGTGAGTGAATAACATCAAAAATGGATCTAATGTTTAAAAAATTGTTTGAATGTTTAAATTGATTATTTAAATTGATTAATATAAATATATTTATATATAAATATATTTATATATACATATATATATATTTAATATAATGCCTTAAAATGTTTTAATATATAGATATTAAAACCGCGGGCTGGTAAACTCGGTTTAGGAACAGCTTATGTACATGGATTACAATTTGTTACGGGAAATTTTGTGATTATAATGGATGCGGATTTTTCTCATCACGTAAAATAATTATATATTTTTATATTTATATAATTTATTTAATTAATATGATCAGATTTATAATTTATTTTAATATATAATTAATGTGATTTGATTTATTATTTAATCTTTAAATATAAATAAATATATTTATATATATATATAGCCAAAATTCATTCCAGAATTTATCAGGTAATAAATCCTAATTTAATTTATTACAAAAAGTTCTGTAACCTTTTTAATGTTTTTTTTCCATGTCGTGGTTCTTGTTTCCAAGAAATGCTAAGCATTATTTAGATATATTTAGATATATTTAGATATATTTAATAATTATGATTCAATAATATACATACATATATATAATAATAATAATTATTATTTTTTAATTAGAACCCAAAAATCTCATAATTATGATGTTGTCACCGGAACAAGATATAGTGGTAATGGGGGTGTATATGGTTGGAATCTTAAACGTAAAGTAATAAGGTAAATAATTAATAATAATTAATTATAATTAATAATGACAACAATAATAATTAATTATCTTTTTTAGTCGAGGAGCAAATTTTCTAGCTTCAACTTTGCTTCGTCCAAGAGTTTCTGATCTTACTGGAAGTTTTAGGTAAATGATAATTTATAATATATAATTCTATAATTGTCATTAACATATATCACATAATATTACATTATATCACATTATATCACATTATATTAAAAATTATATTTACATTATATTACATTCATATAGATTATACAAAAAAGAAGTTCTAGAAAAAATTATTTCGGTAGTAATTTCCAAAGGATACGTATTTCAAATGGAAATGATGGTTAGAGCAAGGCAATTTGGTTATACCATTGGGGAAGTTCCTATTACTTTCGTGGATAGAGTTTATGGTGAAAGTAAAATGGGTGCAAATGAAATTATACAATTCGCTAAAGGTGTTTGGCAATTGGTAAGTAAATATGTTTATTATCATTCTATTGATTTATCATTCTAATTTTTTATTATTCTAATTTTTTATTATTCTTGATTACATTGTTTATTTATTTATTTTATATTATTCTTTATTAATTAATTATTTAATTATTATAATTCTATTAATTATTATTTTTTTTATATAAATTATTATTATTCTATAGTTTATATCAGTTTAATGTGGAAAAAAAATAAATATTATGATTTAATTTACAATTTAATAAAATACAAATGATTATAATGATTATTACAGTGATTATTAAAGAAATCTAAATAATTTAAATAATTAGTTATTATTGCTATTATTATTATTATTATTGATATTATTATTATTATTATTGATTATTGTTGATATTATTATTATTGATTATTGTTGATATTATTATTATTATTATTGATTATTTCATACTCCTTGATACTTGATATAAATATAATATATAATTGATATATAATTCATTCTCCTCGATATATGACAGTATTATCTTTAGTTTCATGAATTTTGACTTCATACAATTCATAATTACCTTTAGGTAAATTCTCCTTAACATTATCCCATATGAAGACTGCTATATTTTCTGTTGTACTTATTCCGAAATTTATGAATAAATCAATAATAAATAGATAATAATAATAATAAATAACAATAAAAAATAGTCGTAAATAAATAAATAAATAAATAAATAAATAAACAAATAAATAAATATAATTTAATAATAATCAGTTTAATAAATTCTATACGTTTTTCTGCATTTTCATCATTCAGATAGATAACGCAGTATATTCTTTATAAACATCATCCAGAACCAATAATAATAATAATAATTTAATTTTAAATGAAATAACTCTAACCTCGGATTATTTGAAAAGTATGGAACGTCTTTATCCTATTTATTTTAATAATAATAGTAATTATATAAATTATTTAAAATTATCTCATTAATTTATTTAATTATTTGATTATATATAAATTATTTCATAATAATAATAATAATAATAACCAAATTCTTATGATCCAAAACATCCATTATCGCTATGTTCATACATTTTTTCAATTCAACCAGGTTTATTACCATCCCTGTCTTAGGATCAATCTTAAAAAGAAGAAAGTAAAAAAAAATCTGATATTTAACTATACCATATATATATTTAAATTTATCTATTTATCTATTTATCTATCTTACTTACTTCTCCCCGTATTATAACTTCTACTAAGAAATAATAGAAATAATAATATATTAATAAAAAAGTAAAAAAAAAAAATGATATGTTTTTTTAATAATAATTCATATTTAATTCAATTTTTTTTTTCCTACCTGTATAATTATGTCCATGACCATTAGGATGATTGCATTTTCCATAAATTTCTTTATTCTCTTCTTCTGTTAAGATTGATGAATGAAGTCGATGTGCTGCTGAAAAATATACTTTTTTACTTAAATATGCTATACGTTTACGATCCATTAATAATTATTCCTACTATAGTTTATCCTAATAACACATTTAACACATTTAAAGAAATTGCTTATTTCCGTAAAGTTCCACAGAATATCACCGAATAAATATCACATAATCATGTGATTAATGTTATACAGTGGGACATCAACTATCTAGCCTATATTTAATATGAAAAAAAACTTTGCTGCAAATGATTATTCAACAGTTAGGTTATAATTCAGATTTTTAAATTATTAAGTCTTAGAAATTTAATAATTCTATATATTAAATTAAAAATATCATTAATTTTATTGGTCAACATTAGTTCACATGATATATGATCAACTATACACTATTCCTTCAAATTTGGGGGATCTCAGTTTTTTAAAATTTCATGATCACCTAACACAGGTCAAATACAAAAGAATTGCTGTACCGAAAAGGAATTCCGATTTTAGCTGATTTATAGGACGGTCGATTTTTACTGATTTTTAGCTGATCTTTAATATAGGAATCACTTGTATTTGACTAGTGTAATCAACCCTAACCCCAGTGTTGTCAAGTGACACCTTCGGGACAATGTTAGGACAAAACTTAATTTTTTTAAAATGTAAATTTACAAAATTTTACTTAAAAATCTGCTTTGGGCTATTAATTAAAGTTGTTTGAAATTGATTTTTATATATATTTATAAAGTTTAGTATCCATTTATAGGTTGGTTAAGGGTAGGGACAGTGGGACATGAGACACAGGGACAGTTAAAAAAGCTGGGGACATGCGAATTTGACAACACTGCCTAACCCTAACTTTGCCCATGTAAATTTAATTTTGCCCAGTGGTGACAATCACCACCAGTGAGCTTTAATGATCCGTAAATCAATTATTTTATAAAAATATAGATTCAAGTATAATATAAAAATTATATAAAAATTACTATTTATTAAGTAAATTTAATATATGGTCTCTGAGAATCATTACATAAATTTCAATAGAAATTAAAAATTTTTGTAAAAATATGCTGCGGAAGTAGTTAGCCAATTATAATTTTTCGAAAAATTAATCAAAATTTTTCTTATATTTATGTTTAAGACCGAACTAGATTATTTATTAGATAATTGTTACATGCGAAAACTCATTTTTTTTCTTGCTTCTAACGTTAATAATGTTATTTTATTTTAGTTTTTCTTGTTATTTGCTTATTTTTCTAATAAAAACGACAGTAAACAGACTAATCAAATCAGCGATACGAATTTATGTCATGTGACAATATTTAAAATTATTGTCTTTCCCATATTTTCCCATATGGGCGATAACTTATGGGCAAAATCTAAATAAGGAAATTTTACTTATAAAAATTGCAGATTAGTTTCCTTTTTTAGATTTTGCTCATGAGTTATTCGGATCGCACACCACTACTTTCCTAATATGGATATTTAATTCGAAAGGTGTGACACGCGGCATACCCCTCTCCCTGCTGGAATAGGCATTATGAAATCAAGCTTCTTTCTCTGGGGGAGGGTTGTTATGATTAAGTGGATTATAAAACCATTATCGTTTAACAATCTTTTTGTGAATTGAGTTGAACATTATAATAATATGCCGATCAGGGATGATCTTATGGAAAAATTATTAAGATCAGGAAAAATATCGTCGATTCATTTAAGTCGACATTACAATCTCCCCGTTCTTCTATATAGTCTGACATCCTTTTATCTCATTTCGAAATAATACTGTAAATTACTGTAATTGCTGTAATTACTGTAATTACCATGGCAAAATGGCAAAAATAATCTGATCTTATTTTTTAAAAATTTAAAAAATTCAATTATTACGATCTATCAAAATATTCAACTAAATAATCTATTTATTACAATACTTAAAATTAATGAATCATTGGATAAAATAGAATTTTTGCTTACTTGTGGATTTCTTCTTTTTTTTTCAAAAGAAGATTAGGAAAATAACAAAAAATTTGGATAACAATAATAACAACAACAATTATTATTATTATTGGGTTTACTTTCCCACTTGTAAAATATAAAATAAAAATAAAGTAAAGATAAAGAAATATACATATTACCTCGTCCTTGAAATTCTTGAAATTAATAATTCAAATTATAATTAATAATTAACAAATATTTAAGCCAATTTTTGGAGGATATAATCCATCTGCGGTATTTGAACTCTATCATATAGAACAAATAACACTGACACTTTGATATTATTATTATTCCTGACCAAGATTGTTATATGTATATATATATATATAATTTTTTTTTATTATTCACAAATGTTGATCAAATATAATCAAAGAAAAAAAAAAGAAAAAAAGAAAAAAACGTCGAAAATTAAAACATTTCATTGCTATAAAAGAAAGTACGAAAAAAAAAACCGTATAAAAGAGAAAAAAAAATGGAAAGAGGGGATATATTTGCAAGATAAAAATAATAGCAACTACATTAAACTACAATTTATAATTTATGAATTGCTAACTAGAAAGATGTGTTTCAGAATTTAAAAAACATGATAATTTGATAATTTCTTCCCTCCTTAATATTGATATAGTAATAAACTGAGTATTATTTATTTTTTTTTTTCTATTTTTTTTTTTTTTTTTTACTTGGAGCTGGTATATTTGGTTACTGCCTTAGTTCCTTCAGACACTGCGTGCTTCGCCAATTCACCTGGAAGAATAAGTCTCACTGCCGTTTGGATTTCTCTAGACGAAATGGTTGATCTTTTATTGTACGCAGCGAGTTTAGACGCTTCAGCCGCAATACGTTCAAAAATGTCGTTTACGAAGGAGTTCATAATTGACATGGCTTTGTTTGAAATACCAGTATCTGGGTGAACTTGTTTTAAAACTTTATAGATGTAGCTTGAATAGGTTTCTTTTCTAGCTTTCTTCTTCTTAACTTTATCACCTGGTGCAGAAGCTGCCTTCTTTTTTTCAGTGGTAGGTGCTTTAGCAGCTGGTGCCTTGCCACCAGTTGTAGCAGGTTTCTTTTCAGCAACAGCTTTTGGAGGCATTTTTATATTTTTCTTTTATTCGTTTTTGTAAGAGAGAGACAAAAAAAAAAAAAAAAAGTTTCTTTTGTTTTTTTTATTATTATTGGGAATTGGACTGAGTAGGAATAAACAATTGTAAATCACAATTTATTCGTGGAATATTTATTTCAGTCAATTTTTTTTTTCAATATTTGTATATTTGTATTGATATATGATTTGTAATTAAATTTTTAGTGATGTGATTATTACGAATTTGAGTGCAACCGCAAAGTCAATAAGTCAATAACCGCTCTGAGAATAAAGTAATACCAAAAGCAAGCAAAACCAGAAAAACCAGAGCCAGGAAATGAGACTAGGGATTTCCAGATATCACCAGCTTCATTCAATACTTACTTTATTAGGTCATTAATGGTATAGATAAGATTTGTTAAAAATAGAGATATTACAATCATTTTTATAAAATATTTATTTCAAAGTTCTGGATCTTTGACAAATGACATAGGTCACGAAGTTTGATTCGCCAGGCTGACAATCCAACAGTGAATTTTTTTGCTTCTATGTTGGCTGAAGAAGGGGTCAGTTTCGGCTTTCATCATCAATTCAAATTAACTCTTTGATCATAATCTTCATCTAAATTGTCTGGCGAACAATTGCTATCACTTTTACTGAGTTGTAATGTAATTCTCGTGGATTAAATTATGATCCAGCTGAATTGCATGCGTACCGTATCCACCAGATGCTGGAGTAATTTGAAAATTACCCTACTCATTTTCGAAGGCGCTACTCTAGAATGGTGAAAATAACCAATGATTATTTAGAACGAAATCTTTTAATTAGTATATCAATTCAAAAAAATCATATGTAACAGAATTTCCCTACTGGCTACACATGATCTATTCGCCACAGTACTGTACCAAAATAAAAACTTCATTTAACACATGATCTATTCGCCACAATACCAAATTTCATTTAACATACTTATCTCTACACGAGTAACATTAAAATAATTTCGATATATACTGTAAATACCATTATTCTTTATACTGAAAAGGCAAAGAGTAATCATTTGTTAATTCAGAACAGCTGTTGTCACTTGAATTTTTCTACTGAAACATTCTTTCTTTTATATAGTTTGGTTTATATTTATATTTTGGAGATTGAATATAAAGTTGATTAATAATCAATGTATTTCAAATCTATTAAATAACAAGTACTTATGATTTAATTGTTAAAACCTTCAAACCTTTCGATAAAGAAGCTTCTTTTTCATATAAATATCCTAAAAAATACATAATAATTATTAATTATATAAATTAAGAATGGGTAATTTTAATTAAAATGCAATTTCAACTGATTCGAAAACCAATTCTACGTCGCAAAGAAACATGGAAAAAAATTAGATCATGGCTATGAAATATATGAATGTCGTGAACTAATAATTGAGTTTGTACAGACCGAAAAACAAAAAGAAACTGAAATTAACTGAATGAATTCGTGATAGATACTGGAGTATCGAAGAGATGGGTGATGGAAAAAAACAGAAATTTTTATCTCTACATTAGAAACTTCTTTGAATCCAATTATTTTAAAGTTTGTCAAAATAAATAAAATTGAACTTTTATCGTTTACAAAAGTATAAAATTTGTTCACAATGACGTAACTTAATTATCATGATTTAACTGCGTTTTGTAATTATCACATAAATCTCTTTAAGTGTAGAATCTTAATTACTGATTTATTTGATTTATTCGAGTCAACAAATATCTGATAACATAATACTTAGCTGTTTCGTTGAAGGTGACTCTAAATAACAATATTTTGAAGTTATTGCTGGAATAAATGATAAGGTTATCAAATTGAAAGAAAAAATCTGGGAAAAGCTTCTGTTCAAAAATACTGCTGCCAGAGATTTAGTGTTATGGAAAGTAAACATTCCAAGTGAAGATGATGCATGGAGGTTGAAATTTTCCTCAATGACATAAATGAAAAATTTAAATTATTATACCCTTCTAAAAAAATTGGCAGTGTATTTACTGATATCACAGGCGATTTTATCCATATTGTTATTGGACGACCCTCCGGTAAGTAGCAAACTACATTAAAATATTTCCTGTTAACGATTCTTAATTTGGGTTGAATAAAAATATGAGTTTATCCTTGACGACGATACATTAAAGTCATCGAAGACTAAGAGGTTACTAGCTTGATACATCACTTTCCGTGCTGTTATTTCGTTTATTAAGCTTTGCACATATTTATTCATATGTAGAATTTAGCGAAATTCCTAAAGATCTGGTTAACTTGTGGAAGGCTTTAAAGAATACAAAACTTGATAAACAAGAAAAATTCATCCAGCTGTCAGGGGATGCACATTTTTTTTGATGATATAAACATTCTATTCATACGTAAATGTTACCACGACTTGCTCGAAATCGTCTTTAATGAGGAAATAAGAAGATTACGTATCACCGGTAATCCGGGAATTGGGAAGACCTTTTTTGCCTATTACTTACTTTATGTACTTGCACAAAAAGAAGAAATAATTATTTACAATAGTTGTGCTATGATTTCTCCGATTGCTTTTGACAAGGAAAAGGTCTTCCATGTTTATGAAAGAGATGTATTGGATTCATACCTAGATGAACCAAAAGTTTGGTATATTGTGGATGACAAGGAACCAAAAAAGGTCGAGGCCAAAACAATTCTCGTCTGTTCACCTAGGAAAAATCATTATAGAAATTTCGATAAGTATATCGGGACAACAATACGGTACATGCCAGTATGGTCCGCGGAAGAAATTGAAACATGTAGGAATAAATATATATTATCATCTCTAAAAAAAGGAAGTTGAGGATTTGTTCTCGAAATGGGGGGGATTCCTCGGTTTATCTTGGAGAAAGCTAAAGAACCCTCTCAGCAGAAACTTCTCAACGAAGCAATTACTAAGAGCAGTAATTCGAAAATATTTAATTTTGTTGGAGAGATTGATAGCGATGATGACCTACACAGGCTCATCCATATCCATACAAATATTCCGAATGAAGAGAACGAAGAGTGTATAAAGACCTTCTATATTGATAAAATTATAAAATTTGCATCTGATTACGTGGCTAGACAAGTGATGGATAAACTTGAAAGCAAATATAAGCAAGACTTAAAGAATTTCGTGGCAACAAGCGACTCGATAAATGAATGCAGTACACTACGGGGTTTCATGTTTGAGGAAATTGCACATCGAATTTTTACGAAAGGGAGGGACATCTAATATCGCTTATTATCTACAAATGAAGATACTCAGTTGACGTTAGATCCATATAAGAGGTTGTTTTTTAGTAACACTAGCGAGATTGTGGAGGGTGGCTATTTTTCCCATATCTGTTTGTTTGTGTCACTATCCATTTTCCTTTTTTAATTTTGTTAATGTTGTCTTCGATTTGTTATGTTATATTGTATTCCTTCTGTTTTGGTTTCCTCGATCCATTTAGGATTTGCTGCAATATATTGGAATTTCTTCCTTTGATTTTTGTTCTAGGTAGTTCCAACCAGTTGTTTTTCCATAACCTCGAGATGTGTGTTTTTCCTCTTGAGGGTGTGGTTTTGACGTTCGGTGAGAATCTGATGTTCAGTCAGGTAATGTCGTATTCGGATGCCTTGTGTATTATGTATAAACTGAGGTTTTGTTGTGGGATTATTTGCTCTTTTTTGAGTTTAATGGAAAGCAGTGATTTTCTGATCCATAAACGGTTTTGGCCCATTCTTATTCTTGTGGTTAATCCCAGGATTGATAAGTCATTCATTCTTACTAACAATTTAATTATAAAATTAAAAACTTTTATATGTAGTTATTATATTACCTACATCAGTAAATTTTTTAGGCGTAAATTTTCGAAATATTACGGAAATTTACGTGATACAAAATCTTTTTTTGACTCACTCGCGATTTACGCGACAGAGAGCGATTTTCTACCAAAGTGTTTCTAAGATAAATCGAAAGCTCTAGTTCCTGGCTACAAGATGATATGTGTTTCATTCCTGTTGCATCGATATTCATCGAGATATTCACGTTTAAATTCGGACGTCCGTGAAAATTTTATTTCGAAAATCTACATCAGTGTCGCGTAAACTTTTCGCGAAATTTTTCACGGACGTCCGACCTTAAACGTGAATATCTCGATGAATATCGATGCTACAGAAATGAAACACATTATTATCTTTTAGCCAGGAATCAGGGCTTTCGTTACATCTTAGAAATACCTTGGTAAAAAATCACTCTCTGTCGCGTAAATCGTGAGCGAAGCCAAAAAACGGATTTTTTTTGTAAATGGTGTAAATATTACACTCAAAAATTTTCCTGATGGTATCCGATAGGTGGCACAAGTCAATTTTATGCTGGGACACGGAAAAATTCCGATATCAAATTACAAACTGTATCATCAATTATTCCGATTTATTCCGCTAAAAAATTTTTTAAGAAAACTACGCAAATTATCATTTTTTTTATTAAATTCTGTCTATCATCATCAAGAAATTTGTTATATGCAGAAAAACTTTGATCGATAATAATTTTAAGGCGGTATTTTATTCCAGAATCATAAAAGCTGCAATCATGATTGGCTATCTGTGCAAATATTACACAAAAAGCACAAAATTCCATTATATTCATTTATTGTAATAATAAAATTTTCCATGTCCCTGATTTTATGTGACAAAATCGAATGGTCCATATATAAATAGTGTAGCATGACGATCAAAAAACTCGGGGTATTATAAGAATAATATTTCTCATATCTTTAAGTAATTGAATCAAAATATTAAAGAAAATGTCTACTCCTTCTGTTACTGACTTACAACTCACTAAAAGTACTAAAAGTAGTAATAAAACTGCTAGAACCCGACGGGCAAAATGTAAAGAAAATTTTGGATATTTATATAGTGCTTTATTTTATTTATCTTAATGTTCATTTAATTATTTTCAAATAAAGCAAACAATGACAATTCGAATAAAGTTTCAAATAAATTAAATAAAGTTTCGAATACCGAAAAAGAGGCCAATAATCCGCACGGGCATTCTTTGACCTCTCGCTGGCTTGATAGACAACAATGCGACGAAATGGGTACGAAATTAAATTAATTATATTTACATTATTTGATATTTCTAAAATTACTGTATATATAATTAGAATAAACATTCCTTTTGATGTTGATTAGGAATTAAGTATAAGAAAGGAAAATTCACGGCCGAAGAAGATCGAAAAGTAAAACAAGCATTAAATGATTACAAAACCGTATGTCAAAAAAAAAAAAATGAATAATTCTAATTTCATCTTTCATCTTGCTAAGTTAGATATATAACTATATATATGGCGAATTAGAGCGAAAATCGTATAATTTTTTTTTTTGTTTGTTTATAGCTACACAATCTTGACGATGATGGGATTCGTGATCTTATTTATGGTCGGAATAATACGGAACACAAAAAATTTTGGACTTCAATTGGTATATAAGAATACGGTGAATGTGATAATGTTTATATTTATTAAAATTATTTAAGATCTAATATTTGAAGTTAATCTTTATTTAGCGACGCAAATTGGTACACGACCGATCAGGACTTTAGCATTACACGTCCAAAGAAAGTATCACCCTTTTAACTATACTGGTACATGGAGTCCTGAAGAAGATGAAGAATTAAACAGGTAAAATATAATCGATATTTGTGATATTTATTTGTCATAAATTTATTAATCATAATTCATTAATAATATTTCGTTAAGATTGGTATCAATATATCACCACGATTGGACTACGATTGGATATCAAATGGATCGCACTGGTCAACAATGCAGAGATCGCTGGAGAGATTACGTTGAATATCAGAATGAGAAGCAACTGGGTATTATTATGAATATTAATATTTTTAAATATTCCATAGTAAATAATAATACCATATTTAATAATAATCTTTATCTGTTGTCTTATCCGTTGTTATTATAGGTAAATGGTCAAATGAAGAAGAAGAAAAGTTAACAAACATAATCGTTGACCTTACAAAAGAAAATAATGCCGATATCACTACGGATTGGGGGATTCCGTGGCATGTGGTATCCGAACGAATGGAACATAAACGATCACACGGGCAATGTTCTCGCAAATGGTATTTTTCAATTTTGATAATAATATTTAATTTCAAAGTTTAATATTTAACTATTTTCTAATAAATTATAACTATTTTTTAGGAGATATTCCTTAAGGTTAAAATATGAATTAAAAAATGGGATAATCGCGAAATGGAGTGATAGTGATAGTTACACTCTTGTCAATAAGTCAATATCGTTTATTATTTATATTTATTGTTCATTCTTGCTCTAGGAAAATTATTTATTCTTAAATTTTTTTTTTCAAATCCTAGGCTTTTAAAATGCGGGGCACTTGAAGAACTTGAAGTGAATTGGGAAGAATTAATCAGTAACGAAAACTGGGGTCCTTGGTGTGTATTCAAGTTTTCCATTTATTACACAATAATTTTGTTAATACAAAATGTTATGTTTTATAACATCTTACAATATTTTATTATATTTTTATAGGACACCAGAAGTATTGAAAGATTGTTGGCGACGATTAAAGTATACCGTCAAAGATTTTTCGGCTAAATCATTCCGAGGTATTGTACTATTAATTAATTATTATGTTTTATTCATATGGATTTTTTTTTTCGAATACTTTTAATATTTTTATAAAATAAAATTTTATTTTTATTTTTTTAGATGTCGCGGTCGAAATTTTAGATCGATATAACGAAACGACAAAAACTTACAAGGCAACCTTTAGTAACCCTAGAATCACATATCCAAGTCCAAGTCCAAGTTCGGATCATATTCTTTAAATAAATTAATTAAATTAATAAAAAAAAAAATCTAATTTATAAATTGTATCTTTAAAAGGTCCACCTGTATCATCTTCATCATTTAAAGGTAAATCCTCAAAATTAAAGAATTCCACCTTGTCGAAAGAATCCAATGCAAGTGATTTGGACCAAGAATCAGATAAGGTAAGAATTATTCGTAAATTTCTTAAGATAACGATAATGATTTTTGGGTTATACAATCTATCAATTATTTCAGGAATCAACAAATCAAACGATTGAATGTCCTTACTGCTTTGAACCCTTGCCAAACCCGTTACCGCTAAAACTTAAAGAAAAGCTTGCCCAAATAGATAAATCAAAAGGAAAGAAGAGAAAAAGTTTCTTCGACGATGATGAATTTTGTAAATTACACGAAGCTGAACTGAAAATCATATCACAAGGGATATCAAAAGGGTATCCTCGAATAATTGATTATGATCAATTACCAGCACGAATTAAAAAATTAAAGAAAAAATTAAAGAAAATAATTTTGGGCAAAGTAAAAAGTAAGTATCGTAAACAAGCATTGGAGACATACCGAAAAATTGGTAGACGAGCAAAATTACCAATGAGCGTGATGAGCAGGTTCGAAACATTAAGGGTACGTTATGGTTCAAAAAATTTTTTGTTTCTTTTTCTTTTTATTATTATTATTATTATTATTATTATTAAAATTATTCAATTAATTTTTTTTTTAATAGCCTGGTTATTTCGGACCAAAGGGTGCCGAAATAATTATGGAAACATTGATGAACATGTTCACAAAGAAAAAGAATATACTTACAGCAGAACTGGCGAAACCACAAAGTATTGTGGAATATTTACAAGAAGTTCTGGTCCCGGAAACTTGCATCAGATTAATCCGAGAAGATTATAATAATAAAGGTGAATCATCACATAAGGATGATAAAAATAAAAAAAGAAAATGGTCTGCCGACGAAAGCGAGAAAAATATTAAAAAGAAAAAAAGAAAAGCCGAAGGAGGTGGCAGTGGTAAAATATCGCGGAAAGAAGCGAAAATCATAATGAAAGAAAGTGCGGAGTATGGCGAATGTCTGAATGGCGAATAAAAAAAAATTTTTTTTTTTTATTATTTACAAATTTATTTAATTTATTTTGTATTTCTCTAAAGTTACAAAATAAAAATCAATTGAATCTAATTACATTTCATGAAGTTTTATTAAAAATCAAAATTTAAATTGTGCCTAATTAAATTACAAATGTGAAATTAATATTCACTAACATAATAAAATTTACAGTAAAATGAATTTAATAGTCATAAAGTTGTTTCGACGCGATTGCGCTTTCTAATAGATTTAATAATCATGATTTTTAAGATGAGTATTTTAAATCCTCAGGAGTTGGGGATGATGAAGATGAAGTTGTAAAGCTTGAAGGTGCCGAAGTCAACGAAGACAAGCTTGAAGTCGATGAAGCAATTAGTTTATGTGAATTTTTGCGTTTGGACGTCGTCGTTTCTTGCTATTTTCGACATTTACTTTGTTCTGCGCCACATTTTCGTTATTATCGGTATTTGATAGATTTATTATTAGAGCTGAGGAATTCGTTTTATTAGTAGGCACCCTTCGTCTATATTGTCTTTTTTTCCTTTCTGGCTTTTTGTCAACTCCATTCGGAGTCTTATTTGATATATCCTTTTCATTCTCCGGAATTGTCCCTTTCCGTTTTGTCGTTCTCATTTCTTGGTTTGGTGCCTTTCGTTTTCGTGTTGTATTGACACTATTGGTATTCAATTCCCAATTGTTGTCTGATTGTTTCTTCACTCTCTTTGCAGGGCTCTTGGGACTCTTAGGAGTCCTAGGTATCTTAGGATTCGAGGAACCAGGGCTCTTTGGGCTTTTGGGGGTGGTCCTGGGAGTAAGCGGACTCTTAGGGCTCTTGGGACTCTTAGGACTCTTAGGGCTCCTAGGGCTTCTTTTTGTGGCCGTCATTCGTTTCATTTTGGGTTGTTTGACCTCCTTATTTTGATTTTCACTGAGTTCGTTAACGGAATTATCAATTTCTTTGGTTACTTCAGCCTTAGTATCTATAATGAGATCTTCAGATTTTGCGGCGTAAAACTTCGGTATCGGGCGGGTTTCTCTTTCTAATGTTTCTAAAAATCCAAGTGTTTCGTTTATGACCATTTCTTCAAATTTAAATTGGTTACTGTGAGATTTTTTGGTTTCAAAATTGGCTGGTTTATTGTTAACGTGATCTTGGAACCAAACGACATTATTCTCTTCACGGCTTTTTTGGATTGGGACTTCAAAACTAATCATTGTTGAATGCTCGTTATTAATTGATTTAGAAATGAAGGTATTATACTTTGCATTTTTAGTGCCGTGAAAATCGGTGTTATATAATTTAACTGATTATCTTCAAGAATATGATTGGATAATAAATTACACAATTAACATGTGAAATGATATCACGTTAAAATTAATAAAAATAATTTTAAAAACGGTATTTTTTTATTCAAAGATATTATTACAGTTATTTTTAGGCAACTCTTTAGTATAAATATAAAATAATTCTAGCAAAAAAAAATTTTTTTCAAAGTAAACATGAAATAATTCCAATTTTAGATAATTCTAGCATACAGTTATTAATGCTGACTGAAATGACGCGACAAAAGTCCTCTATAAAGTTAAATTAATATCTATTTATAAAAAAAATGGTATAGAAAAATGTTTATCATTTGCTGCAACTGCGTGAGAAAAGTTTTAGAATATATGTTAACATGAACGCGAAAGTTTTGATGAGTTTTCAAGATTTTCGAATATATAAAGTATTACCTGCTATACATTTAAATTTATTCATTTATTCTTCCATCTCATCTGAAGATCCACAATTATCAAAAATACCTGAAAATGCACTTTGAAGAGATCTTTCGTATATAAACTTTTGATTATACCCTCCCGCTCTTAATAATTGCGTTGGAGCAGGTAAATATCTGTAAAAGAATCGAATTCGATTTGTTAAAAAATAATATAATAAAAAAGAATAAAAAATGAATATTTGTATAAAGGAAAGGGAAGGAAAGGAAAAGAAAGAAAGGATACGAATCAACATATTTTTCTTTAATTGTGTAATGGTCTATATCCATATATTCCGATGCAACAGGATCAAATTCCTGTGTATCTTCCTGAGTAAGATGATCTAAACCAAACCACTCTTTTATCTGAACATTTTCCTGATGAGAAGCTTGAAAGGAATCAGGATTTTTGTGAGTGGTCGCTTTTTTGGCCGCTATAATCTTTGAAGCTGATGTCTTTGAATTTGCCTATAATTATATTTTTAATATAATTAATAATAATAAACTGTGTAAATATTTACAAATATAGCCAAATATTATAAATATTAATAAAAATTTACCAGCTCATTGATCAATTCAACTTCTAGCTCTTCTTTAGCTTTGCGTTCTTGCTCTAATGATTTCTTATAGTTTTCAAATTGCGCACGTTTCTCTCTCTTTTCACAAGCTTGTTTGTATGCTGCTAATTTCTCTTCATCAATCTAATTATTTCGAGAGAATTAATGAGATAGTTTTTTTTTTTTAAAAAACTAAAATCTCAGTAATAAATAAATTTATATCTCTCTATTTGTTTGTTAAAATCTTATTTGAAGGACCTGTCTTCGAGCATTATGAATAATGTTATCTTTATTCTCCCTGGTATATCTCTCAATTAATTCATCTGTTTCTTGTTTATTGATGTTGTTATTAATTTTCCAAACTATTGATTTTTGAAAATTCATTTAAAAATTCATATATAGATTTAGGTCAACTCGATTATCTTTGATCAAATTTTTTTGATTTTAGATCTAAAATTGAATCTTAAATTGAATATGGCCGAAGTAACAAACCTATATCCTCAACCATTTCAAGGTAATCATTGTATTCTCGTAAACTTGGAAAATCTTCTTGTCTTTTATTAAACCTATATAATTAATTATTATCAAAAAATCTCTTAAATTTTTTTATTTAAAAAATAAACTTAAGATTGAAAAACTTAATATATTACTGTTGTGCGATTCTTTTTCTAATCCGAACTTCTTTTTCAACACTTAAATCTTCAAAAGTTGGCACCACAAAATTTATTTTTCTTAAAGTTAAGCTACATATCGGACAAGGGCCAGCACCGTTAGCAAATAATCGATCAATACATGATTCACACCTAAAATAATAATAATAATAAAAAAGGTTATATCATAACTTTACATTTACTTAAATCATTTATAATATAATTATATACTAACATTTTATGATAACATTCACTCACAAGTAATTTCATATTGGGTGTAAGATATCGTGTGTTTTTACATATTGGACAAGATTCATCAAGATCTTGTAAACCGCCGCGACCATTATAGTCATTTATTATTATCCCTGACATGCTTCAAAATTCCAGCCTCGAGACGTAATGAGTGATTTAACTTTCGTTGGTTTCGAATGTTACACTTATTCTTGTGTTACATAAGGTTTGTCCCAATGTAACGTAAATGTACAACTGCTGCTCAATTAGTGAGCAGTTTTATTTCGAGTGTGCATTAGTCGAGTTGATGAAGTTGTCTCATTAATCGAGTCCCCTTATTACTACCATAAAAGATTTGACTTTCAAAATGATACAGAAAAAAAACAAAACAAGTTTTACCTCCAAATAGATAAAAATAAAAAGTGTATAGATATTTGAATATTTATAAATATATAGAATGAATGGAATATAATGAATAATTGTGTTGAATGATAGTTTATTTTGGGGAAATTATAAAATTAATGTCACAGTAAAGAAAAAATCTTCATGAACGCAGTCATATTTCAAAAAAAAAAAAATGTGGGTCAAAAATTTATAATTTTTTAAAAATGTACAAACATAAATTTAATTATAAATTACATAAATTTTTACGAGTTAATAGGGCTTGAAAAGGCAAGTGTTTTGAGAATCGAAATTTTCAAGGAAAATTATACTTTGTTACCCATTTTCTTATCCAATTAAACCAAATTCATTCAAGAACCAATAACCGAATAGGAAATAAATAGGTCTTATTTTATATCTAAAATAATGTCGTAAAACGTTTCGCATTTAAAATTCATCTAATTCATCAATTCATCAAATTTTATCAAATTCATCAAAAATGCATAAAAAATGATCGGATACACGACAGGTGTGAGACTGTTGAGACAAATGGGGTGCATTAAAATTGTTAGATTTTAAACGATTTAACTTGACAAATAGAATTTGTCTCACTGAATTATGCTGGTGGGCTGTAATGTAACCCTGAAATATTAGCAATATTAGAAGACCATTTTATTATATTTGTTATAACTTTTATAACATTTTACATTTTGTTCAACATTTATAACATTTAACGCGCAAATTTCGGTCCCTAACGTTGATTACGCACGTGCACTTCTCAAATGTATTGAGGTCGCGCTCTTATCAAAAAAAAAATTTTGCACCCCAATTTTTTGCAAGTTTTGATTTGTTTCTTTCATTTCTGGACTATAAATTATTTTGTTGATTGGTTCTTATTTGTAAGTCCATATCTAGTTGGGTGAGTCTGTTTTTTTTGTTTCTCGTGCTGTGCAGCTTGTGTTTTACGCGTACAGTCCTACAAAGAAAATTTTAAAGACCAGTTTTTCTCGTCTTTACTCAGTTTACTCGTTCTTCCTTTGATTTTTATTTTCAAAGTGCAAAAAAGTGCGCGCAAACTTTATACTTCTCCAGGGTTAATATTTTCGTTTTCGAAACACGCTTTTTATTTTACCGCTTTTTGGTTCCCTGTTCCTTTCATCTTTTTACCCAGCCTTTCCCAAGTAAAAACTTACGTATATGACCATGAGAGAAATTGTCCACTTACAAACTGGCCAATGCGGCAACCAGATAGGAGCAAAATTTTGGGAAGTTATTTCAGATGAACATGGTATTGACCACTCCGGTACATATGTTGGAGATACTGACCTTCAATTAGAAAGAATATCTGTATACTATAATGAAGCTGGTGGTGGAAAATATGTTCCACGAGCTGTTCTTGTTGACCTCGAACCTGGTACTATGGATTCTGTTCGAGCTGGTCCTTTCGGTCAACTATTTCGTCCAGACAACTTTGTATTTGGTCAAAGTGGTGCCGGTAATAACTGGGCTAAGGGTCATTACACCGAAGGAGCCGAACTTGTTGACTCTGTATTAGACGTTGTCCGTAAAGAAGCAGAATCTTGTGATTGTTTACAAGGTTTTCAAATCACTCACTCACTTGGGGGTGGTACCGGTGCTGGTATGGGTACTTTACTCATCTCAAAAATCCGAGAAGAATACCCTGACCGTATGATGTGTACATTCTCCGTTGTACCATCACCAAAGGTATAAATTGTTTAGAATTGTTTTTTTAAAATTGTTTAAATTATTAAGTTGTTTAAATTGTTTTTAAATTGGTTCAATTGTTATGAGTTTAATTATTGTTTTGATTTGTCGGGTAATTAAATTAATTAAAATAACAATATAACATTTATTTTATTTATTTTATTTGTTTATTAAATAGGTGTCAGATACAGTTGTTGAACCATATAACGCCACACTTTCTGTACATCAATTGGTTGAAAATTCAGATGAAACCTTTTGTATTGATAATGAAGCTTTGTACGATATTTGCTTCCGTACATTAAAATTGAGTACACCAACATACGGTGATCTTAACCATCTAGTATCTGCTGTTATGAGCGGTATCACGACATGTTTACGTTTCCCTGGTCAATTAAACGCTGATTTAAGAAAATTAGCAGTTAATATGGGTAATTTTTCTAATGAATCATTTATTTGTTTTATATTTTGTTCTTGGATCTTTAATTTAATGATAGAATAAAAACTACAAAAATTATATAAAAATTATATAAAAATTATATGATCATGAATATTAAATTGTTTTTTTTTTCTTTAGTACCTTTCCCTCGTCTTCATTTCTTTATGGTTGGATTTGCTCCATTAACCTCTCGAGGATCTCAAGGATATCGTGCCTTAACTGTTCCTGAATTGACTCAACAAATGTTTGATGCTAAGAACATGATGGCAGCATCAGACCCTCGTCACGGTAGATATTTAACTGTTGCAGCAATGTTCCGTGGTCGTTGTTCCATGAAAGAAGTTGATGATCAAATGTTGGCTGTACAAACAAAGAATAGTTCATACTTTGTCGAATGGATCCCCAATAACGTTAAGAGTAAGCTTTGAAAAAATTTATTATTATTATTTTTTTTTTTTGATCTTATATTTAGATCATCTTTATATTGATATAAATTATCATTAATTTCAATTAGCTGCTGTATGTGACATTCCACCAAAGGGACTTAAGATGTCAGTTACATTTATTGGAAATTCTACTTCTATTCAAGAATTGTTCAAACGTATTAGCGATCAATTCACTGCTATGTTCCGACGTAAGGCTTTCTTACATTGGTATACTGGAGAGGGTATGGATGAAATGGAATTCACTGAAGCTGAATCAAATATGAATGATTTGGTGTCCGAGTAAGTTATTAATTATATTCTCAGGAATAGTGACAACATCAACTAAACAAAACAACAACGCATTATATTTATAATTTTTATTTTTATTTTATTTTTTTTTAGATATCAACAATATCAAGAAGCTTCTGCAGAAGAAGAACAAGAAGAATATGAAGAAGAAATAGACCAAGATGCCGATATCTAATAAAAAAAAATTACATTCTACACTCATATTTCGCATTTTAATTACAACCTGTCATCATTTTATACATTATTTTATAATATGAATTTAGTTATACAATCATAAATTTTCTATTCTAAAAAAAAAAAAAATTTTACAAATCTCACAGTTTATATATATATGCTTTTAAATAAAAAGCCATTTACATTTACATGTGATAAAAATATATATTAAAAAATATCTATCGTTAATAATTACAATGCGTCGTTTTAAAATGTAGTAATATTTGATAAAAACAGAACTAAAATAGGTTTTAGAGATATTTCAATTTTGACAATTTTTGACCTAATTTATTCAAAGATGAATAGTGTATAAGGGGAGTATGATGAAGAATTGTATAGATTGAAATTATTATTATTATTATTTTTTTTTATTAATTATTTATTATAATAATTAAAATCAATTTGCATGATATATTATATATATAGACAATTAAAATAATAAAAAGAATAAAAATAAATTAATGCAAATCTATTGATTGGTTTCTTCTGTACAAATTTGTAAAAAAGAAAACAATTCATAAGATTTTTTATCAAACTTTAATTCTTATTTTAAATGAACCCGAGGTAAGGTTGTCATTTTATTAATTACCCAATTTTTTTATACATCTAAACTAAGAAGAAAATTAGTAGTATACAGTAAATACAGTAAAATATAATATATAACATTTTTTATTGATACCAATAAATAATTATCTAATTTTCTCTTGGATCCCCACTGTCATAATAAAAATACATTTAAATAAAATATTCTATATAAAATATTATTTTTCTTTAAATTCATATTCATTGATCCTGGCCCATTTACTAGCCGTGGAATTATCTA